GAGATAACACATTTTAATTGCAGATTTATCATGGTGCACTACATTAATAGTACTTCACTATGCATGCTTTATCTAATATCTATTCAATATTAACGTAAAAACTCTAAAAAAAAAGTTGCCTAAACAGATTTGAGACCTAGTTTATTTGCAATAGAAGACACAAGTTGCAAATTAATTTTTTATGGGAATATCCATTTGCTTTTTCTAAAGGTCATTACATTATGTTTTAAAACACATAATTTACAGGAATAATATAGCATTAGGAATACAAACCCATATTCCTAGTATCTAGTTCTATACAGGTCCCACAGTAAGTTGTACTTACTTTTTCCTATACCAAGGATCCCTTGGCATTGCTCAACTCTCCACCTCTAGTGACATCAAGTAGGAGGTGGGGCCTCCTCCAGCGATGACCAATCCAACACTCTTCATATAGGAGAATTGGTGACATGAAATGCATGCAAATCGAGTGCTGTGCATGTTTCCAAGCTCACTCATTGGGTAGCATTGAATTGAATGCTTTTTTATATGGGCTTCCATTTCACGAGAGAGTGGCGGCAGAAGCACATCTAGTGGTTTTCAGCATTATATCTGCTAGAGATGGATTTAACCCTGCAATGTAAACATAAAGGGACAGAGCCACTACACTCAGAAGAAGTGGTCTGGATGACTACAGTGTCCATTTACATATATTAAAGGGACACTATAGTCACCAGAACAACTACAGCTTAATGTAGTTTTTCTGATGAGTATAATCATTATATGCAGGCATTTTCATGCAAACACTGCCTTTTTAGAGAAAAAAGGGACACCTCCACATGGCCTCTCCTTAAAATGGCCACTGGAGGTGCTTCCTGGCTCAGTGCTGCACAGTAGGCAGCTCTGCCGTTCAGCGTCCCCATGCAGAATTTTCCTCATAGAGATGCATTGATTCAATGCATCTCTATGAGGAGGTGCTGATTAACCAAAATGGCATTTGACCCTGCCCCCTTAGGAAAGCATTAGATTGGCTAAATATCTGCAATTCTGATGATGTCACCAAGGGGGCTGGCAGATCCATATTGAACTGGAAATAAAGTGAGTTTTTCATGCTTTTAAGGGGGGGAATGGGAGGGGGCATGCCACCTTAATAGTGGGTTTAGCACAAACATGTATTCCTGACCCTATAGTGCTCCTTTAACTGAAATTTATCAGCAGGGCATCATTGCCTGTGCTGCCATTTGAAGGTATCATTATTGTAAAAGTGTTTTCAGGATATATGTGGGGAAGTAAGGGTTTATCAACTAAACAGGGCATTGTGATAATTTATGATTCAAAATGAAAAATATCCAAACTGAATTTTTCCAAATCAGTTATTGTGGCCTAAATTTCTAATTTTGATTTTTAAATTCACTGCAACTCACAGTTTAATGATTAAACCCCTCAATGATTTGACTAACTTTTCCATCAGTTTAACTTATTGAGTCTTTAATTCTCTGCAAGGGTGGATTCATATGAACTTAAATCGCTGGGCAAAATGAAGCTCTGAATCTATGTGAACTTTCTTTATCTTTATATTATTTATTTGTTATGTAAATGTCATCTGTCAGTGAATAAATCTATGGGAATATTTTAATTCTTTTAGACCATTAAGTGAATGCATTCTTCAATTTGTGTACTGTAAATATTTTAGTGTTTTTGTATGTTCGATGTTAGTGTAAATAGATCAAAGTGCTTTTGTAAGTGTAAGAGTGGAGGAGTATGTATTATGTGTCCTTTCTTTGGGAGTGTATGGGTATATTTGTAGTGCTAGAGTGTTGCAAATAGGAAAATGAATCCCTCACTTGGGAGTCTTTTCCTGCTAGTGTGATAAATTGAATAATTCCACTATACACTGATCGGCCACAACAGTAAAACCACTGACAGATGAAGTGGATAACATTAATTATACAGTTACAATGGCACCTGTCAAATGGGAAGATATATTGGGCAGCAAGTCAACAGTCCGTTTTTGAATCACAGGTGTTGGAAGCAGGAAAAATGGGCAAGTGAAAATATCGGAGTGACTTTGACAAGGGATAAATAGTGATGAGTAGATGACTGGGTCAGAGCATCTCCAAAATGACAAATCTTGTGGGGTGTTCCCAGTATGCAGTTATTAGTTCCTACCAAAAGTGGGGCAAGGAAGGACAACTAGTGAACCAGCATCAGGGTGTGGTCAGAGTGCCAATGTTTCACTGAAATTGCCCTAAATGGGGCCATGAACTGCACCATGAAGAAAATAAGAAGGTAGAATCACATTTTTTTTAGATTAGGTAGACAATTAGGTAGATTTGGTGTGCGTCGTTTACCTGGTGAAGAAATGGCAAAAGGATGTAGTATGGGAAGAAGGCAGGCTGGCAGAAACAGTAGTATGCTCAGGACAATTTTCTGCTGGGAAGAAGGTTGCCTGGTCTGATGAATCACTTGTTCTTTTAGATCAGGAGAATGGCAGGGTGTTGTGCATTGTTTACATAAGGGAAAAAATTATTGCAAGAAGGTACGCAGAGGTAGTTTTATGCTCTGTGCAATGTTCTTCTGGGGAACCTTGGGTCTTGGCAATCATGTGGATGTTACTTTGAAACATACCACCTACCGAGAGATTGTTGCAGTCCAAGTACATCCTTTTATGGTAATGGTGTTCCTTGATGGCGGTGGCTTCTTTCTGTAAGATACTCTTTCAACTGCAAAATTGTTCAGTAGTGGTTTGAGGAAAGCAAGAAAAAAACAGATCACGAGAGCATACTGAAAATGGACAACAATAGCTTCAGTGGGACCTCACTCAGATCTCAAGCTAGTAATAGCTCATCTTGTGCCATTACAAAGAGAACCAAGACCATTTGCATATAAGCCTGATTGCACACAAAAGGGCCAAGCGACTCTATCTGCATGAAAAATACAGACATTTCGGCCTTGATAGGCCTTTTCTATGAGGCACAGTGAGTAAGAGGTTTACTTCTGGATTATCCTTTAACCCCTTAAGGATCAAACTTCTGGAATATAAGGGAATCATGACATGTCACACATGTCATGTGTCCTTAAGGGGTTAAACTTGGAGAAAGTAAAAATAAATAAGACAAAGAGGAGTTCAAAGTGTTGTCTCAGCCTCCAAATTCCCCAGATATCAATCCTATTGAGAATCCATTTTTACAATCCAATATTGTAAATTATACATTAGAAAAAGCTAATACTGTGGTTAATATGATTGTTGTGTGTTATAATTAACAGAGCATCGATATAATCATTCCTTTTAGAGATACGTTCATACAGACTGGGAAATGTTTTCATGCATTACAGCTGACTAAAACCGACAATTTTTGACAATCATCAAAACCGACAACACTTGACAATCATCAATTTAGAACTATTAAAGCCATAATAATAGCATAAATACTCTTAATATTAGTTATACAAAAAGCATTTACAGGTAGGTGCTTTCTATTATTTCTCACAAGGATTTGCTGATACTATATTATAATAGAAACTGGCACATAATTCTATGTGCGCTATTAGACAGATACAATGATTACATTAGACAATGCAATGCTATTATTCTATCCAAGTATTAAAAAAACATAATATATTGGTAATAGTTCCTCTGTTCTTTGTAAATGAAATCACGGATTGATACACTGTGTACTGGATTTACTCTAAATTTAATATTGTGTAATCCAAAATTAATTCAAAATTAATTCCAAAATTACTAAATGTCAAAAAATGTATCTTTAAAAAAAATAATAATAATATAACATTTTTCTAAGTATAAAATCATGGTGAAAGTTTATACAAAAATATTAAATAATTTAAAAAGCTTAGCCAAAAATATTAAATTGGCAAATGCCTTCCTGAAATCAAATGTTTCTTAAAGAGTTGGCAGTAGCAAAAAAAAATAAAAAATGTTTGTATATTAGTTCAGGAGTCCGCAAAATATAATGATACATGATTTAAAATAATCTTCTGTTCTTGTGTGAATGGAAACAGTAAAACCTCAGTGCTTTACCTACTGCTTTGCTAGGAGACATAACATGATTTTGGCTGTTACAGAACAGTAAGCCATTTACTCATCAACTGATATAACTAAATTACAATGCCAATTTTATACAGAAGAAATACCAGTACTGAAAAAAAAGGAATACTAGAAACATAATAGCCATACAGTAATAATAGAACATTGATTTTTCTCAGCTATCATGTAATGAAAATTCTTCATTGACACTTTTTGTCCTTCAGGTTTATCTGTTTAAAACCATTTTATTATATCTTAACGGATTTAACCCAAACAAAATCTAAAATGCATTGTTTTGATTTGTGAACATTGACCAGTAATGCCCTCTAGTGAGTGTATAAGCTAACTGCATGTTTGTGAAGTCAAGCTTGCTTATTGTTATCGTACAGTGTCTTGAAAAATACATCAAAGATATATTTTTAATGCACTCTTTTCTGTCCTTATGCTTTAGCAGGGTTAAATAAGCTCACAAACTATTCTAAATATAAAGATTATATTTTTTTAAGAGATAGTAAATATTTTTTTCCTGACATCTTTCAGCAAATATCTGTAAAAACTCATGCTAATAATGTTCTTTTTTAATATTCTTTATTTTTGTCATGCAGGGATATAACACACAGATTTGAGTAAACATGTCACACATTATTAAGTAAGACAAGAAAGATGATGAGCATGTAACATGACATGTAGTATGCTGCATTTTTTTTTCTTCAACAGGGTATATAAGCATATTGGTCAGACGTGTTCTAACAGCGGTCAAAATATAAGCTGGTATCCTTAGATGGAGTTAAGCCACGTGGCTAAAGATTAGTACAGAAGGTACCAACACGTTTGTACTAAGAGAATAGAAAGAAAGAATTAACTAAATGTGCGCTGACCAGAAAATAAAATTGAAAACCACTGGCATATTCAGCATGGCTGCATCTAGCTATTTATATGAGAAGAAAATTAATTAAATTGTTAATTTAGGCATAAAGATCAGGTATAGGAAGCTCACTACTAGTCAGGCTTATTGTGGTCAAGAGAGCAACATGAGGCACAATGGCTATTACTACAGGTGAGTAAGTCCCAGTTTGTCAGTGGTCGGTCTTCCTTGGCAGGTGAGTAAGCTGTCAGCCTACACCCAAGGCTGGGAAGTGTAGGGCAGGTATGTGTAGGGTCCAAGATGCAGTGACACCCTGGGCACGACGTGGGTCATTCCTCCAGCTCCAGGCTGGGTCACAGGCCATCTTGCGTTTTGCAGTAGTTGTTGGCACTGAGCTGATGCAGCTGCCAAGGTTGTCGTTGGCACGAATTGCAGGCTAATGGGAACCAGGATAACCCCCACCGGTCTGGGGGGGGGGAAACGGGACCCAGACCACTGCTTAATTCCCATCCAGGAGGTCGGCTGTCCCTCCCGCTCGGGTCTCGCCAGGCCGCAATTATCAAGATTCAGATCTCAGTCCCTGAGAGTCACACGATCGCTCTGGTAAGTGTCCGGTAGTCTCTCAGCACTCTTGGGTTAGGTGTCGGTGAGCCCGTGATTTTGTTGTTTTAGCACGGTTCAGAGAGGAGTTCACTGACCATGTGAACACTCAATATGGAGACACTAATGGAGCAGGGAAGACTTTCCTTTGGAATGGGAGCAACCCTAAAGAAGTCTTAAAGGTAAAAGTAGGAGCAGAGGTCAAGTGCAGGCCTTTGACAGAGCAGAGGGGCCTGCATGGAACATACCTTCTTTTTAGTGAGGATAGATTGTGACAGTGTTAAGAAATAATTTCCAAGTAAGAACCACCATTTTACATTTACATTTGTATGGGAAGTCAATGTGAGGATTTACAGAGAGGGTAGGTGCAGAAGGTGCAAGAGGATAAGAAGATGAGCCTGGGTGTAGCATGGGCAAGCTGGGTATGTTTGGGACCAATCAGAAGTGGATTGCAGTAATTCAGATGGGAGATAATTGTAACATATATTACAACTTTATCTGTATCTCATGTTAACTAGTTGTGAATGTGAGCTATGTTTTTAAGATGGAGGCAAACAACACTTGATGATTGACTGTATGTGAGGAATCATCAAGAAAAAACAAAGAAAAAAGAAAAAAGTCAACAAACAGGTGAGGTTAAGTCGATGGTAGTGCCATTTACTTGAAGGGAGACATATATAGGGGTAGCAAAAATAAAAAAAGTTCTGTTTTGGAGACATTGAGTTTAAGGAAGCAAGTTGCCATACAGATAGAAATATTTGGTTGTAGATAAATCATAGAAGTGATCTACCATAAAAGTTACACTGACCAACCACAGCCACTGACAATTTGAAGTATATAATATTGATTATATCATTATAATGACACATGTCAAGAAGTGGGATATGTTAAGCAGCAAGTGAATAGTCAGTTCATGAATTTCATGTGTTGGAAAAATTGGTATGCAAAAAGATTTAAGTGACTTTGACAAGGGCCAAATAGTGATGGCTAGATGACTGGGTCAGAGTATCCAAAATGGTAAGTCTTACGGGGGTTTTCCCAGTATGCAGTGGTTAATACCTCCCAAACGTAGTGCAAGTAAGGACGACCGGTAAATAGTGATGTTCCGAACGGTTCGCTGGCCAATAGTTCCTGGCGAACATCACTTGTTCGCGTTCGCCACGGACAGCGAACATATACGCTGTTCGGTCCGCCCCCTATTCATCATCATTGAGTAAACTTTGACCCTGTACCTCACAGTCAGCAGACACATTCAAGCCAATCAGCAGCAGACCCTCCCTCCCAGACCTTCCCACCTCCTGGACAGCATCCATTTTACATTCATTGTGAAGCTGCATTCTTAGTGAGAGGAGGGACAGTGTAGCTGCTGCTGATTTGATAGGGAAATTGATAGCTAGGCTAGTGTATTCAGTGTCCACTACAGTTCTGAAGGCTAGAACATCAGTCTGCTTTTTCTTTTCTGTGTAATGTAATTGCAGTTGCCTGCCTGCCAGCCTGTGTGTCAGGCTCACAGCATATACTGTGCCCACTTGCCCAGTGCCACCACTCACTCACTGGTGTCCCAATAGCTTGCATTTAAAAAAAAAAAAACTTTTTTGACTGTAATATAATAGCAGTCAGTTTACTTCATGAGTTTGCGTTTCAGGGCCTGCCCAGTGCCACCACTCACTCATTGGTGTCCCAATAGCTTGCATTAAAAAAACAAAAAAACTTTTTTGACCGTAATATAATAGCAGTCAGTTTCCTTCACTAGTGTGCGTTTCAGGGCCTGCCCAGTGCCACCACTCACTCACTGGTGTCCCAATAGCTTGCATTTAAAAAAAACAAAACTTTTTTGACTGTAATATAATAGCAGTCAGTTTCCTTCACGAGTGTGCGTTTCAGGGCCTGCCCAGTGCCACCACTCACTCACTGGTGTCCCAATAGTTTGCATTTAACAAAAACAAAACTTTTTGGACTGTAATATAATAGCAGTCAGTTTCCTTCACGTGTGTGCGTTTCAGGACCTGCCAGAGCACAGTGTCACACCAGTGCAACTCATATCTGGTGTAACAGTAGTGTACATTTAAAAAATACAAATAAAATTTTGACTGTAATAGATTGAATAGCAGTTAGTTGTCTGCCAACATGTGTGTCAGGCTCACAGCGTATACTGTGCCCACTTGCCCAGTGCCACCACTCATATCCGATGTCACAATAGCTTGCATTTAACAAAAACAAAACTTTTTGGACTGTAATATAATAGCAGTCAGTTTCCTTCACGCGTGTGCGTTTCAGGGCCTGCCAGGGCACAGTGTCACACCAGTGCAACTCATACCTGGTGTAACAGTAGTGTAAATTTAAATAAAAAAATACAATTTTGACTGTAATAGATTGAATAGCAGTTAGTTGTCTGCCAGCGTGTGTGTCAGGCTCACAGCGTATACTGTGCCCACTTGCACTTAACACACCACTCCTATCTGGTGGCACATTAGATTGCACGCGCAGTGCCCCAAATTTGAAGAAGGAGGACCGACAAAGCATTTTTTTCCATCTCCCAGTTCCTAAAATCAATGCCATATACACGTCCCCTGATAGGGGATGTAACAGGGATTAAACTGATAGGAATAGTACTACTTAACACACCTTATAATAATGCAGGGAGAGGCAACGCAGAGAGAGGAGTCTGAAGAAGAGGAGTCAGAGGAGGAAGGTGGCTTTGAGGAGGTGGAAGACCAAACACAGCAGGTGTCCCAGGGGGCTTGTTGTCACCTTTTGGGGACCCTTGGTGTTGTACGTGGCTGGGTGGATGAAGAGACCTTCAATGACATCAGTGAGGACAAGGAATGGGACATGGCTAGCTTGGTATCCAACCTTGTGCAAATGGGGAGTTTGCGGTTGTGCAAATGGACTGTTTGCGGTTGTTTGCGGTGCGTTAAACGGGGAGTTTGGTCTTTCACTATGAAACGGGCATAACCCTTACACTACCTGATCAATACAACATCATACCTGATGTTTTAAAGCACGTTATTCCAAACAATTTAGGAATGTTAGGTGATTTATGCCCTTTATGGATTAAAACCAGAGTCTGCATCAACTATGTAATTTTCCATGGGAGTTTTGCCATGGATCCCCCTCTGGCATGCCACAGTCCATGTGTTAGTCCCCTTGAAACAACTTTTCCATCACTATTGTGGCCAGAAAGAGTCCCTGTGGGTTTTAAAATCCGTCTGCCTATTGAAGTCTATGGCGGTTTGCCCGGTTCGCCGGTTCGCGAACATTTGCGGAAGTTCGCGTTCACTGTTCGCAAACTAAAAAATTTATGTTCGCGACATCACTACCGGTAAATTGATGTCAGTTTAATGGACGCCCAAGGCTAAGTGTTGCACGTGGGAAGCAAAGGCTAGCCCTCTGGTTCATTCACATATAAGAGCTACTGTAGTTTAAATTGCTGAAAACTTAATGCTGGAGATAATAGAAAAGTGTCAGAACACACAGTCCATTGTAGTTCGCTGCATATGGGGCTGTGTAGCCACAGACCAGTCAGAGTACCAGTGATAATAGGGACGTGAGCATCAAGACTAGACCATCAAGAAATGGAAGAAGGTTACCTGACCTAATTAATAACTTTTTCTTTTAGATCAGGTGGATGGCTGGGTGACTGTGCAATAGATGGCAGCAGGGTGCCCTATGGGGAAAAAAACAGGCCAGTGAAGTCAATGTTAAGCTCTGTGCAATTTTCTGTTGGAAAGCCTTGAGTCTTAGCATTCATGTGGATGTTACTTTGACACGTACCACATACATATAGATTGTGGCAGACATGTTCACCCCTTAATGACAGTTGTGTTCCGTGATGGCAGTGGCCTCTTTCAGAAGAATAATTTACTCTGCCACATGGCAAACAAATGTTCAGGAATGGTCTAAGAAACAAGGACAAAGAATTAAAGGTATTGCCTTGGCCTCCAAATTCCCCAGATCTCAATCTGATTGAGCATCTATTGGATGTGCTGGAACAACAAATCCGATCTATGGAGACCCCACGTCACAACTTGCAGGACTTAAAGGAACTGCTGCTAATGTTTAAGTACAGATACCATAGGACACATCAGAAGTCTTGTAGAGTCAGTCCATGCTTCAACAAGCTGTTTTGGCAGCACAAGTGTGACCTACAAGATATTAGGCATGCTGTTTTGAAGTTGTGGCTGATCAGTGTATACAGGAATACAAAGGAAATAATTAGTTCAATAAGGGAGGTAGTCTATATAAAGAAAAGTAGGTGACCAAAAAAAGAACAGAAGTGGGGTTGCAGATGGAAAGAAGCACCACATAAGAGGGATTGCTAACAAGCCCTTTGTTATACATTTGAAATAAAAAATAAAAATAAAAAATAACTGTTGCACAGATGTGAATGAGCATGTTATATGTGCATGAACTTCTTAGGATGCATTGATAACCAACATGTATTTACCCATCTCAGAACAAAATTGTAATAATATATTTTGCCTTTATGAAGCCGTATTTACAATATGTTATACTTGAGGCATGCTTGTAACCCTGGAAAGAGATACCTTACAGTGCCAAGATTCATTATGTTCCTCTGAATCTCTACATATAGTCTGAAAATTACAGGTATCATAACCTTCAATAAACAGCTTCAACGAACTAAGCTTTATTAATAGATTCTAACAATCAAGAATTGAGGGAAGGAACTAGGGTTCCAATGTTACTCAAAGCAATGTAGATATTAAATCAGTAATGTACTTTGCAAACCT